TACAAAATTCTCAACCCAAGAGTTCTGAGGGAAGGGAGTTTCGAGCAACTTCATGCAGCGGCTAAGCTTGTCGAAAGATGTCTCAAGTTAAATGGGGAAGAAAGGCCAACAATGAAAGAAGTGGCAATGGAGTTGGAAAGGTACAGAAAGCATAATGTTCAAACATGGATTCAACAAGAAATTCCTCAAAGAAGTGTGGCTTTGGGGCTAACAACTGAGGAACCTGACCTATATCAAGTGTCAATAAATTCTGAGTTCGTTACCGGGGAGTTCTCAGAACAAAATACTATGGACAGCTGCCTGTTACATGCGATCAACACTCCTCGCTAAATGGTGAAAAGTTTCAAACTTCACACGTAAGAAGGTCCTAAGATGACGTACAATTACTTTTTCCTTTATACTTTTTCGAAGTTTATCTTTTGTCATCTTATTCTGCTTGTAATAAGTTCATCTCTTTTTATTAAGAACTTCCTTTTTCTTTTTCTTTTTATGTCAATATGCAAAATGTTATAAGCTTTTATTATCTGTTAATTTTTTGGTGCCACGCATACTCATTGTCTTATTAAAAATGGTCAACTTTGTTGAGTTATGAAATCAGAAATTGATTTGTGAAAGAGATTATATACTATGTGAATGAAGGAAACTCGTTGAGATAAGTTTCACCAATCAATTTTTGAACAGGGCAACAATATAAGCCAATCAAACCACTCTATTTTTAGTTTGATAAAACAAACTACTGTAAAACAATAAATACAGGGTGAAACGTGACATGCATTAAGAATTAAAACTTTATCGAGTGAAATATAAAGATGTGTTTTTTTTTTCCTTTTCTTTTTTTTCCTCCTTTTTTTTCAACAGAAAGATGCAATATTTATGCATCAATGGACTTAACACAATAAAATCGGTAAAGTTTGCATACCATTGGAAACTTAAAATGAAACTCAGAAAGTTGAAGGTCTGATATGTTATAAAAATGAGGTTTTCCTCAAGTGATAGTTCTATTTTAAGATTAGAAAAGATTGAGGAGTGATATTAGGTTCATTTTTATCTTCTGATTAGGACAAAGGCATTATTAATTAGTACAATTTGTCTTTGATTAAACTTAATGGATGCCACCCATATGCTGTCCATGACAATAATTAATTTGCATTTGAACATGTAACTCATATTTGTGTTGACAATTGAAATCTTCAACTACATATGAAAATATAAAAATATTTCTCGTTTTATCAACTGTTATATACTATTTCTAGTTGAACTGATTGAATTCATTATTTCATTCAATCTTATATGGTTACAATTGCATATAATTATTAGTTTTACATGTTTTGGCTGAATTGCTTCTCAATTTTTACTTTTTATTCTTATTCCCGCCCCCTCCCAAACTGGTCAATCTGTGGCTAGTTCATTCGGTTTCTGAATAAACCAACAATCTTGACTGAATTTTTATTCGACTTTTAGAGAGTCGCCTTTCAACCGTATGAGTATCCAGTCTAATTGTTTGATCCGAAATGACTTTCAAAACTTTGATAATTACGGCAATCATTTTGCATCATTAACTCAAAGTGTAAGGTAAATAAGTGCATCAAACATTCAAATTCAAATAATTAACCGAGATAAGAATATCTTCATTATAAACAAATGAAGAGTGGATTCAACTTGTTTTCTCTTGTTTCAAGATTGGTAGTTGGATCAATTCAACATTTATAACTACATTTGACTTTATCAGGTCATTTCTATTGTTTACTGTTTGAGGTGAGCTCACTCTTTCGACTTCCTCTTCGATGGCTTCGGTTAGGTCAGATTAGCAAGTGATGTGATTGCAACCTGAGGTGGTTTATTAGTTGACTGCTACATGACCAGTGATTGAAGCCTTGTATGATGAAGCTTAACGAACTCCATATAAAAGTTTAAGGACGTAGTTCACATATGACGCAAAGTTTGGGAATCATAAATGTTCTACCCTATCAAATTATGTATAGAAATTGTTCCAACAGTAAATTTACCACTTCATGCTGGACATCTGACCATGTAGATTACCGGGCTATGCTCTTTTAGCTTGTTTTATAATTTGGAAAAGACTACTTGTCTAGAGCTCTAGACGGATAGTGGGGTCCTCTTTAGGGACAGGCCCCCCACCTAGCCTTGAATGTATAGCACTCCTCTTAAAATTTAGAATGTACAACACTCAACTTAATTTAGCCTCTGTTTGATTTTGATTAAAAAAAAAAAAAAATTTAACAGGTTTTAATTATAATTGATGAAATGCGTCGTTTAAAAGTTGTGGATCTCACGAAATGTATGGTTAAAATTGATTATTAACTTTTACTTAAATTTTAGAGCCTGTTTGGGAGTGATTTTGAAAATTGATTTTTTGACCGTTAGGAGAAAAGTGGGGTCCACCTATAAAAGAAGAAGTCAAATATGACGGCTGAGATAGTGAAATAACGATCAAAAAATTAATTTTTTGAGTGAAAAAATCGGGCCCAAACAGGCCCTTAATCCCTTTTTTAGTGGAATCAGACTGAGGCTTAGATTTATTAGTACCAAAACAACATTAAAGAAAAAATATAGTCCTTGCTGGGAGTTTTTTTTTTTTTTTTTAAAGTAATTTTTTTTATAGAACCAATGAGTATTAAATTAATATTCCATACACATCCGTCATGTAATTTGACTAGGATGTCTTCAATAAATAAAGTAATTAACAAAAGTGAATATGACATTTAGTTTTCTATAATGTTGATACTCCCAAATCTACTGGTAGTTGGATCATTTCAATCTTTATAACGTCATTTGCCTTTATCAGGTCTTTTTCTATCAGTTACTGTTTGAGCCTTGAGGTGAGCTCACAACTTTGTACTCATTTAAGGCCATGAACGAACATGAAGTCCGACACGAGAACTCAGTCGAATTTCAAACTAAACATGCTTCTACATTATGTTCTATTCCTTCTCTTGTGGCTTCTGTTGGCATTGGCAACTTCTGATTATGTCAACACAACCCGAAGCCCCACTACCATAACGAAAGGGGTATACATAACCAAGCCGAGATGTCCCAGCAAATGTGGAAATCTAACAGTTCCTTACCCTTTCGGCATTGGCTTAGGCACTGGTTGTTCCATAGATCCATCGTTTGAAATCAACTGCAACACTTCTTTTAATCCGCCCAGGCCATATCTGGGCGATGGAAATCTCGAAGTTACTGATATATCAGATTCTCATATGCGCATCAAGAATTGGGTGGCTGAAAGATGCTATAATCAACTAGGCAACTTGACAGAGTATTCCCCAGCTTATATTTATTTACCACAAAATTTTGGCTTCTCTGAAACGAATAAATTCACGGTTGTTGGATGTGACGAGGTAGCAGTAATATCAGGAATGGCGGGGCGTAACTTCACCAGTGGATGTGTTGCCATCTGTTCGTCAAAGGAAAGTGTCATCGATGGGGATTGTTCAGGGACGGGTTGCTGCCAAACCTCCATACCAAAGGGCCTGCAGAAATTTATAATTACAATGACCAGCATTAATAATCACACTAAGGTCTGGTCCTATGCTGGTTGTGGTCACGCCTTTCTTGGAGAGCAGGACAGCTTTACGTTTCATAAAGCGAACCTGTCTGATTTGACATTTTTAAACAGAACCATAGAGAATGTCCCTGTACTCTTGGACTGGGTGATGGGGACCCAAAATTGTACTGAATCTCACAAATCCAACAATGTTAGTTGTCAACAGAATAGCAGATGCATTGATCCTGATAATGGTCTTCAAGGATACCGCTGCACTTGCTTTCAGGGTTATGAGGGCAATCCATATCTTCATCCAGGCTGCAGAGGTCAGACCCAAGTTTTTGCACCATAATTAATCAGAAAATGAAAAAATTGCTCCACACGATTTTCAGACCCTAATGAGATTATTATCCTTGTTTATATGTCAGATATCAACGAATGCAATCAAAATCCATGTGATCCAAGAGGGATTTGCACTAATACTCCAGGTAGTTATAAATGTTCATGTCCGCACGGATACCTTGGTGATGGCAGAAAAGATGGTCATGGCTGCAATAAACGGCCTCCAGTATTCCCGATGATCAAGTTCTCTTTTGTGTGTGTGTGTGTGTGTGTGTGTGTGTGTGTGTGTGTGCTCTCTCTCTCTCTCTCTCTCTCTCTCTCTCTCTCTCTCTCTCTCTCCCCATAACATAAAATCTGAAGAGAAATGCTAAAACCCAAAGTAAACTCCATACTTGAAAGGACTGTGAAAGGAGTTCGCATTGCACATCCATACTTGTTTCAGAGTAGTAACACAGAAAAACCCTCTAATTTACTCGAATAAAGTATATGATATTAATTTATCTTAGATAACCTACATTTGATGACACTACGAAAGAACTAAGTTTGTCAAAAATCTGATATTTATCATTATTGTATTAGTAGGCAATATTACAAACTTAAAATCATGTCCAGTTGTACATTCCTTGGTGAAAGCTTCTAATCTTTATTATGATTACTGTGAATTGTTGGATTCAGCGTGATCAGGTTCTAATTAGTTCAATGTGCGTGTCAAACAAAAAATTTTTAGGTCTTGGTTTTGGCTTCTTGACTTTGATAATTGGTGTTACTTGGCTATACTTTGGCATTCAAAAACGAAAGCTTATTAAACTGAGAGAGAAATTCTTCCAACAAAATGGCGGTTTGCTATTGAAGCAGCAACTTTCTTCAAATGAGGGTGGTATGGAATCAGCTAAAATCTTTTCTGCAGAAGAACTACAGCACACAACAAATAACTACGCTGAAGATCATATCCTTGGCCGTGGTGGTTATGGAATAGTTTATAAAGGAATTTTGAGTGATAAACGTATTGTTGCAATTAAAAAGTCGAGAATAATGGATCAGGACCAAATTGAACAATTTATCAATGAAGTAATTATCTTGACTCAAGTCAATCATCGAAACGTGGTGAAGCTACTAGGATGTTGTCTCGAGACAGAAGTTCCTTTGTTGGTTTATGAATATGTCTCCAATGGCACACTCTTTTACCATATCCATAACAGTGAGAGAATGCCTTGGTTTTCTTGGGAAAATCGTTTGAGAATCGCTGCAGAGTCTGCTGGTGCATTATCTTATCTTCATTCGGCAGCAGCAATGCCAGTTATTCATAGAGATGTCAAATCTCCCAATATATTGTTAGATGATTACTACACAGCAAAAATATCAGATTTCGGAGCTTCGAGGTTGGTGCCTATTGACCAAACACAAGTAACAACTCTAGTCCAAGGAACCTTAGGTTATCTGGATCCAGAGTACTTCTATACAAGCAAATTGACAGATAAAAGCGATGTTTATAGTTTTGGAGTGGTTCTAGCAGAGTTAATGACAGGAAGGAAATCCCTTTCTTTTGAAGTACCTGAAGAAGAAAGGAACCTGGCCACTTATTTCGTTCAATCCGTGAAAGAAAATCATCTGTACAAAATTCTCAACCCAAGAGTTCTGAGGGAAGGGAGTTTTGAGCAACTTCATGCAGCGGCTAAGCTTGTCGAAAGATGCCTCAAGTTAAATGGAGAGGAAAGGCCAACAATGAAAGAAGTGGCAATGGAGTTGGAAAGGTTCAGAAAGCATAATGTTCAAGCATGGATTCAACAAGAAATTCCTCAAAAAAATGTGGCTTTGTGGTTAACAACTGAGGAACCTGACCTATATCAAGTTTCAATAAATTCTGAGTTCGTTACCGGGGAGTTCTCAGAACAAAATACTATGGACAGCTGCCTGTTACATGCGATCAACACTCCTCGCTAAATGGTGAAAAGTTCCGAACTTCACACGTAAGAAGGTCCTGAAATGATGTACGATTACTTCTTCCTTTCTATCTTTTTCGAACTTTATCTTTTGTCATCTTATTCTGCTTGTAATAAGTTCATCTCTTTTGATTAAGAACTTCCTTTTTCTTTTTCTTTTTATGTCAATATGCAAAATGTTATAAGCTTTTATTATCTGTTAATTTTTTGGTGCCACGCATACTCGTTGTCTTATTAAAAATGGTCAACTTTGTTGAGTTGTGAAATTAGAAATTGATTTGTGAAAGAGATTATCTACTGTGTGAATGAACAAAACTCGTTGAGAAAAGTTTCACCAATCAATTTTTGAACAGGGCAACAATATAAGCCAATAAAACAACTCTATTTTTAGTTTGATAAAACAAACTACTGTAAAACAATAAACACAGGGTGAAACGTGACATGCATTAAGAATTAAAACTTTAGCGGGTGAAATATAAAGATGTGCTTTTTTTTTTTTCTCCTTTCTTTTTTAACAGAAAGATGCAATATTTATGCATCAATGGACTTAACACAATAAAATCGGTAAAGTTTGCATACCATTGGAAACTTAAAATGAAACTCAGAAAGTTTAAGGTCTGATATGTTATAAAAAAAATGAGGTTTTCCCTAAGTGATAGTTCTATTTTAAGATTAGAAAAGATTGAGGATTGATATTAGGTTCATTTTTATCTTCTGATGAGGACAAAGGCATTATTAATTAGTACAATTTGTCTTTGATTAAACTTAATGGCTGCCACCCATATGCTGTCCATGACAATAATTAATTTGCACTTGAACATGAAACTCATATTTGTGTTGACAATTGAAATCTTCAACTACATATGAAAATATAAAAATATTTCTCTTGTTTTATCAACTGTTATATACTATTTCTAGTTGGACTGATTGAATTCATTATTTCATTCAATCTTATATGGTTACAATGGCATATAATCATCAGTTTTACATGTTATGGCTGAATTGCTCCTTAATTTTTCCCCTCTAGCTGGTCAATCTGTGGTTAGTTGATTCGGTTTCTGAATGATCGAATGAACTAACAATCTTGACTGAATTTTTATTCGACTTTTAGAGAGACGGTTTTTTTTTCCCTACAACCATATGAGTATCCAGTCTAACTGTTCGATTCAAAATGACTTTCAAAACTTCGATAATTATGGCGATCATTGTTGCATCGTTAACACAATAGCGTAAAGTAAATAAGTGCATCAACAATTCAAATTCAAATAATTAACCGTGATAAGAGATTGGTAGTTGGATCTCTTGTTACAAGATTGGTAGTTGGATCAGTTCAACCTTAATAACTACATTTGACTTTATCAGGTCTTTTTCTATCAGTTACTGTTTGAGGTGAGCTCACAACTTCGACTTCCTCTTTGATGGTGTTGACACATAAAAATTCAGCCCAATCGAACGGCCCAAGGAATGAAGCCCAATTGGAGGATCCCCAAATCAGATAGCCCAAAGAATGAAGCCCAATCAGACAATTCAGGATGAAGGTCCAAATAGGGAGGCCCATGAAAGCGGTAACACCATCGCCCAAACTTGCAAGTCGCCCAGGATCTGAGCGAATGGAGTGCCATGCAATCGCCCAGAGCTGCTACTCTATTCTCGCCCAAACCTTCGAGTCGCCCAAGATCTTAGCAAACATGAAGTGTTGTGGTTATCAAGAAGCGTAGTTATCAAAGCAGTCATTAAAGCAGTCCTATCACGTTCCAAAATTCAAGAAATTCAATTGAAGACAGTTGAACGACAAAGAGTAATGGCAGCAGTTAGAAAAGGCAGTTCCATGACAAGTTGACCATTACGAGAAAAGTGGGCAGTTATAGAACGATCAACTAGTTTTTAGGCGGTTGATCACAAAGAGATCATCCAGGGGGTATAAAAGGAAGAAAAGACATAGAGCAAAAGACCCCGAATCAAAAACTCTCGAACAGAGGACATGTAATTTTAAATTTCTTAGTTTAGATTTAAACACTTCTTTCAGTAACTCGTGTGCTTGCACCCCTTGGAGACATTCTGTTTTTACTTTCCAATTGTAAAGTCATCGCCAATAAAGAACACCCCTTTTTGGGACTTTGTCTCAAGAGGTTTGTCCCTTACACAATCGTCCGATCCCTTTTTAATTGTTAGCGACGAACCCGCGCGAAACAATTTGGCACACCCAGTGGGACAGTGGTATTTGGTGTTGAAAATACAAAAGGTGAAACAATATGCCTTAAAGATCCGATAAGGAAGCAGCAAGTCAAGGAGGAGTCTAGTCTGTGATCGAGCGATATGAGGAGCAGCATGCCTTTCCACGAACAGATGGATAGAATCAGAGCAGTAACAGTCGTTACGAACAAATAACAGAGTTGAGTCCTCGAACCATGCGTGCACTACTTGGAGAACTCACACAAGATGTCGTTGAACAGGTAAATTTTCGAAGTATTTATAATATGGAAAGATTTACCCAAAATGGGAATGCACATTATGACAACATGGCCAAACAACTAAACACTTTGAATGAAATAATGAATAAGTTAGTAGGCCAAATATGTCAACTGATTATGCCTCTTGCAAATCACTTTCAAAGTAGGATAATTGTGGGACATAATCCCTCAGTCCTAAATCCGAATCAAGGGATAGAACCACTTTCTGGTCCCTCTACTTCAAACCAAGGAGGTGGTGCAGTGCCAAATCAGAACAATGGTAGTGGTACGCCTAACTTGGGGGTAATCCAAATGTAAGAGATAATGTCCTAAACAATAGACAAAATACCCCACGTGTTAATGAAGGGATAGATGTTCAGGCTAATGGTAATGGCCCAAGTCATGGTAACTTTGTTGACAATCAAGGATCAATCGGTTAACCAACCTGTAGGAATTCCATATGACCCCAACGTCATGTTGAGGAATCAGATTATGGAAATCGTACAGGATCAGATGGCTTTTGGGGTACGTCCTGTCATTAGGCCGACTTACACAAAGTCATATCCTGATTGGGTAGACCAAGCATATCCATGGCTTAGAGGGTATAAAGTGCCAGAATTCTCACTGTTTATCGGTTTAGGGGAGGTGTCTACTCTAGAACATATAGGGCGATTCACATTGCAAAGTGGTGATGTAACTGATTACCATAAAATGAGGCTTTTCCCTAGTTCATTAACAGGAGTAGCTTTCTCCTGGTTCATCAACTTGCCAGCGAACTCTGTTCAAACATGGCAACAATTGGAACAATTATTCCACGCTCAGTTTTATAAAACTGAGTCTGAAGTCACTTTGACTGATTTGGTGAATCTACGTCAAATGCCAAACGAATGAGCAGAAAGTTTTCTCCAAAGGTTTAGACAGCAAGAAGCAAGTGTTTTGTACCTCTACCCGAAAAAGAATTTGTCAAAATCGCTCAGGGTTGTTTGAACTTTGATTTAAAAAAGAAATTTCAGGACAAGGAATTTCCTGACCTTTTCCATTTGAGTGCGAATGTGATTAGGTATGAACGACTGATAAGAGAGGAAGAGCAGATGAAAAATTCTAGTAAAGGGACTTATTACAAAGACCCAAATTTTGACGTTCATACCATCAGCGATGAGTCATACGATCAAGTCGAAATGTGTTTGGCCGAATTGCTCAAAGGAGACACGTATACTTGTCTTATAATGGCTAAGCCTAGACCATCGGGCAAGGATGAGCCCATGAAAGATGGAAACATAAAGGCTAGAACGTTCTCGTTCGATGTAACCAAAGTTGGCCTTATATTTGATAAATTATATAGGGATAAGCAGATAAAGCTGAGCGATAAGCATAAATTGCCAAATCCTAAACAAATTAAGGGTAAAAAATATTGTAAGTGGCATAATGCATGATCACATTTGACTAACAATTGCTTGGTTTTTCGCAATGTATTGCAGGATGCCATTGAATCAGGACGAATTACGTTCGACGATAAGAAGAAGATGGCAGTGGATGAAAATCCTTTTCCACAGCCACTTGGAGTGAACATGGTGACGTCTGGTTTCAAAAACAAGTTGCCAAAATTCAAGTTGGTCATGATGATGGAGAAGAGGACCCTAGACCACATCCCAATGTCTTTGAACGAATCAAGGGGAAGGAGCCAAAAAAGGACGAAGACGTCCTGTGTGCAAGATGTAAAAGAGAAGTGAGTGGGAATACGGAGAAACCAGGGATATGGCAGCATCCCCATCGCCCTACTTTCTTCCCAAACACTCAGCCTGGTAGAGGGCGAAGTACATCATTCTATAGAGGACCGCCTTTGGAGAGGCAGTTCAGGCCAGTAGATAATGGGAGAACATTCAGGCCGCAACCTCGCCGGCCAAATGTATGGCATTCGTTCCAGTATAATGCAGGAAGGGCAATACCCTTCGATGAGATGACTAGAACCCAACAAAGGCGTTTCCAACGAAACTATGGACGAATGATGAGGCAGCAACAGGGAGTGCCACATCCTAAAGCGCCTAAACTACTCAAGATAGCCAATCAAAATGTTCTCAAAGATAGTGAAGAGACCGGTACAGATGAATCAATGAAAGAGCTAACAGAAACTTCTTCTGGGAGATCAAAGTTTGAGCGAGATAGAAGGGATGGAGAAGATCCAGATCAGCCCCTTACTATCCAGTTTGGTACGTTACCTCCTGTCGTGGCTAATAATTACTTACTGGCCAATGAATTCAAGAATAAAGAAAAAGAAGAAGAAGAAAGGGAGGACAACGAAGGAGAGGCTTGCGTGCTGGAATGTAAAGAAGGCCAGACTTCTAGAGAGGCCTACAATGTTGAAGAAGACGACGGGATGACAGACATCGAAGAAGAAATTGACCTAGAAGAAGAAAGAAGAAGGAAAGGAGTATCGCACAATACTCTGGTGAAGCAACTACATCTAGAGGGAGTTCGCGAAGTAGACTTGTTGGAAGAACCATCTGGGCATCCTTTCGATTTCTACGTACTGTACAGGACGCCCAAAAGGAAGAAGAGAGTGCCTCGCTCTGAAAAGTATGGATTACCTCTAAGAATAATGCCCCCTCCCACAGGTTGGGTAACTGATGAAGAAGTATTAGAAAATAGTAAGGAAGGAATTCAGGAGATAGAGGCTCAACGCGATATGCTGCACGATAACTTATCATA